CCCCAAAACCCCAAAACCCCAAAACCCCAAAACCCCTAAAAGGGTTTGAGAGGTTGGAAATATTGGAAAATAGTGGAGAAGAGTGGATTTGGAAGTTATCTATGAATTAAAGTCACTTTAGTTTTCATTATTTTGGTAAGGTTAAATCCATGGTTATCAACAGAAGGAAATACTTTTCAGAGGGCTTTAAAGTCTCTTCTTTTGTACTTTCTAAAGAATTTTTTAACATTCTTGTAGATTAGGATTTTATGAAAAAATTCCTTTGCTTCTTCGTCGTTCTCTGTGTTCCATCTTTGATCTATTTGACCAATATCGATTAAGTACATGGGGCATCTCTTAGGATTTATATGCCAGTCATCATTGTGGCGGTAGATGCTCCCTTTTGGATCAGATTTATTAAGTTTGGCTTCTTCCTTACCACAAAAATAACACCAGATAGTGTCACAGTTGTCACAAACCATATGAGTGCAAGCATCATCTTTGACTCCTCCAACTTTGCATTTTGGACAGTATCTTTTTGTACCACTTTCAATTGCCTTATCCCAATCTTCTTTGATATCCTTGTACTCGTAGCACTTGTGATGAGTGAGCATGCCTCCTTCTTCTTTCATTTCTTCAAGTTCATCCTCAGTCACAGCCATGCCTTCGGGAATCTAAAATTATAATAAAAACTTACTTTGAATTCTTTGAATCAAATTGAGCAGCTTCCCTTTTTGCAGTCTTGCTTCTTGCAGTAGAAGAAGTTGGACGAATTGGTTTTTGCCCAAATCTCAAAGTATTTGCAGAATGGACAACTCATCACTTTATCAACCTTCGGATCAATATCTTTGACTGCTTTATACATTAAGTATAACTCAAGCTGGTCAGGTGTCATCTGCTTTTCTAATTGAACAGAGTTGAGCTCAATTTTTCACCAACAACATTCAACAGGGATGTTATTTTCGGGATCTGATAATATATTTTCCACAAAAGTCTTGCTACAATCTGATCATAAATCATGTCCTTGACTGCACTTAACACCATCATGTTGTCTTGGCATGCTATCCTCACATACAGAGCATGAGACTGTTGTATCTTTATACCTAGCTTCCATCAAATTGTATCTAAATCCTTTGTTTATATAGTGCACTCAATTTTTCAAATTATTAGTCCCAAATCGGGGTTTTGGGGTTTTGGGGTTTTGGGGTTTTGGGGTTTTGGGGTTTTGGGG